GCTTAGCCACTAGCCACTATATTCAAATTAGTGTTTGAACTTTCTGCATATGAATTTTTAAAAAAACAACACCAATTTTAAGTGGTATAGGTAGCACTGCCAAAGGTTCTTTTGCAGGAAGCTTACTATCAAAGTGAAATGAAACTGTAAAATTTTATCTAGCTATCTATATCTGCATATAGATATATTTTATATGTCTATGTATGAACTGAATGGGGCCTTGAATATCCTATAGTTTATTATGTTCCTTAGGTTGAACCTAAGATATCTAAACCTGACTAAGAAATTAACTAATCCATGACCATTTCATTATGGAAAATAACCTTAAGGAAGGCAGAAAATAAAAGTCATTTGGATTTTCTCTCCACCTCAATATAACTATGTTATACTGTCACTGAACCTGAATGTACTGACTAAACATTTGTACTTTTAAGGGTACTCTCTATTCAATTTTTTTTAAAAAAAAATCCCTAATTCTATTGAACAAAAAGGATGCTATTACTTTATGTACTCGTAATACGGCGTATTAAAGGAAAATTAATCAAAGAACTACAAATTAACATACAAGTTGTGCTACCTGTTGCCAGCATACCTATATATATACTTTGAGAAAAGAATAGGATTCACCTCTCTTGGTCAGACTTAATCTACTTGGGTCACTTCTGAATATATATTGAACTCAATGAATAGCATCTTTCATGAGATGGAAACTTCCATCAGTTCCAATAGTAAACAAAGCTAGTGACCTCAAAGAAAACTCCACAGCTCATTCTGTTCACATTCTGTGTAACTGAGTGATCACTAAGCAATTCAAAAAAGTAAGATAGAATTATACCATATATCCATATATTCTCACTTTAGCCACTAAACAGCAGACTGTAGAAGAAAAAATACCAACTAAGAAAGCTTCAGCTACCCCTGTCATTCTCTTAACTATTTATTCATCAACTTTCAATTTGACTAACAAGTTAAATGTCAAAGGTCTAAAGTTTGACCCTACTACCACAATCGTGATAAGGTTATCAAATTAGAAGATCAAGGTTATGGAAATAATCTATTTGGGCTTTAACTTTAGCAAAGCATTTGATAAGGAATCTCAAACTATTCTTTTTTCCAGAATTAAAAAAAAATTAATTTCATTTTCAGGTTCACATTTTCTCTCTCCCTCATCCCCAATTAAGAAAGCAAGAAAAACAAACCCATAATGTATACTTAAGCAAAACACATTAATGTACTGGTCATGTAAAAAAAAAGTCTCAATCTGTACTCTGAGTCTGTGCCCCTCTATCTGGAAGTGGACAGCATGAAACTATTCTTTTATAGAATCTGGAAAAGTATGGAATAAGTGGTAATAAAAATTAGAAGGATTAAAAACTGGTTGAATAGAAGGATTTAAATAAAACCCACAAGCATTTATTAAGTACCTACTAAGTCCATGAGTCCTTTCCCTCAAGGATATTACATTCTAATGGGGGAGATAACATGTTCATATAGATATATACAAGACATCTTATACAAGACAAGAGAAAGGTACTAGCTGCTAAGGGATCTGGGAGAGGGAGGGTGAAAGGGACTAATGTACAAGAATACAAAAAGGAAAGGTAGGAAGGGGCCAGATTGTGAAGAGCTTTAAATGCCAAATAGAGGAACTTCTATTAGATCCTAGAGGTAACAGAGAGCCAGTAGAGTTTGAGTGGGGAGTGACAGTCAGAGCTATGCTGTAGAAAAAAAAAAACCTTTGACAGCTGTGTGAAGGACAGATTGGAGTGAGGAAAAAGCAGAGGCAGGAACCCAAACAGGAGACTTGCAACAGTCTAAGAGTCCAGATGAGGACTGTTACTTGTTCAGTGTCAACTTGGCAGGAGATCTCTAGTGGAGTGCCCACTGGCTAGCTTACTTGGTGCTGTGCTGTTTAACATTTTTATCAATCACTTAAGGTCAGAGATGCATGCTCAACAAATTTGCAGATGACACAGGCAAGGAGGAATAGTTAATATAATGGATGGCATTTGGGATCCAAAATGATCTTGACTGACTAGAGCATTAAGCTAAATTAGATGAAATTTTATAGGGATAACTATCAAGTCTTACACTTGGGTTAAAAAAAAATCAACTTTACAGTATTGAATGGAACATGGTTAGGCAGTAGTTTGAAAAAGATCCAGGAGTTTTAGTGGACTGTTAGCTCAGTGAGTCAGCATTGTGGTGTGGCAAGCTAAACATCTAATGGAATCTAGGTGTATAGCGAAAGCTATAGCTTCTGGGAATAATGAGGTATAGTCTTTCTGATCTCTGCCCTGGTCAGATAACTTCTGGAATACTGTATTTAGCTCTGAGAACCAGAGTTGAAGAAAGGCATTGGTAAGCTGGGAGTGTCCAGAGGAGAGCAAAGATGGTGAAGGACCTTGATCTATGTCATGTAAGGAGCAGCTGCAGGAACTGGGATGTTTAGCTAAGAGAGGACCAGGGGGCATATGATAGCTGTGTTAATGCATGTGAAGGGCTGGTGTGTCAAAGAGGGTTAGATGTATTTGGTTAGTTCCCAGAGGGCAGAAATAGGAGCAATGGCTAGAAAGTTGCAAAGAGGTAAATTTGGGCTTGCTATGACAAAAAACTTGCTAGCAATTAGAGCTGCCCAAGAGTAGGCTGCTTTGGGAGTTTACTCATCCCAGAAAGCCCTTTTAAAGTATGGGCTGGATGACCACCCATTGGGTATGTTAGAGTGGGGGTTCCTGCTGGAGTATAGTAATAATAAATAGTAACAACAACAATTAGCATTTTATGGTGCTTTAAGGTTTGCAAAGCATTGAGCAGGTCATCTAACAACACTCAAAGCAACACTGTGAGGTAGGTGCTACCCTTACATTATGAGAAGGAAAGTGAAACTGAGAAAGACGATGTGACTGGCCCAGGGTCACACAGCAAATAAATGCTTGGGATGGGTCTTCCTGGCTCCAACTCGAAAGCTGTCCGCACTGCTTGAGGGGCTGCCTCCATGGGCTACAGAATTCTATTGTTAAAGAATCCTAGAATTTATAACTGGAGATAATCTCAGAGATAACCTAGTTCAACCCTTTCAGTTTAGAGATAAGGAAGCTGAGATCCAATGGGGGAAAATGATTTGCCCAAGGCTACAGAAGATAGTAAGTAGCAGGTCTTCAGAAGCAAAGCTAAGTACACTTCCATGACACCAACCTGCTAGATAACTGTTATTTAGATAGAGAGAGATGTTTGGAGGGAAAAGAGGGAGGAACAGCCATCCCCTCTCCCCCCTCACTCCCCGCAGAACAGAAACATTTAATAGTTCATCAGCTCACAGTCTGTCCCAAGAAGAGAAAACAAGTATTTTGCTGACATACTAGTGAGAGATGATTTAGATATAAAGATGATGGAACACCAAGGGGAATGACTTATAAAGTAGGTATATTATTGTGATATGGATATTTCAGAAGGAGAAGGATTAAACCAAATGGTACAATCTATGGGCAGGTCATTCATTACATGTCAAGAGTTGTAGTGAAAATTCCATATCTAAAGTGTACTTTTTCAACATTAGCAATGCCTCAGTTTGAATGCAGAGTAGGCATAGTGAGGCCGCAGGTTCCCCACCTCTGCCATAAACATAACTTTTAAGGAAAATTATTAATCATTTCAGTCATATTATGACAGGAAAAAAGGCTTAGGGGCTCAAAATATCTGGAGCTAGAAGAGATCTTTGAGATCATCTAGTCCAACCTCCCCATGTTACAGAAGAGGAAACTGAGGCTCAGATAAGAGAAGTGACTTGTCCAAGGTCACACAAAAAGTAGTAAAGTTTCTTGGCCCCAATTCATGTTTTCCCCTAAACCACCCTGCCTATTTGACAGACCAAATCTATTACTACTTAAAAGCTGTTGCTAATTAACACTACAAAGTAAAAAATAAAAGATATAGAAACCTTACAGTTTGAAAAACATATAATTAACAAATACTTGAATAACTGTGAATGGTAATTTAATACAGTAACCTCTGGTTAAAGTACCAGTCAGAGGTGTGAAATTTGATTAATTAAAATTTACCCCTTGCGCTCTGTATGTGTATAAAATACCTCTTGCTATTCAACATTAGTATTTTTAAATTATAAAGCTACTACTCATTTGCTCAAACATTTATTGAGTAACTATCACATGGTGGAGGGAGGGGGAGGTTGCTTATACAAAGATGAGATAGTTTCTTTTCTTATTTGGGTATGTATGTAATAAAAGATGGCATATAACTAAAATGTGCCTCAGAAGTTCATGACAAGGAGTTAACTTACCTTTACCAAGTACAGTCAGATCATGATTTTAAAGTTTTGTTTCAATTTAAAATTACATTATTCCTAATTCAAATAAAATAATTTTTTTGGGGGGGAGGAGCATGTGTAAGGTATTGGCTCCTTCTCACACACTAAATCGGTTTATTAAACCTACTGCTTCTTTGTTCCCAAAACAACGAAAAGAAATTGGATGAAATGAGAATAATTGCAAAGCGCTTAACACAGTTCCTGGCACATGGCAAGCACTATATAAATGTTAGCTTATCGGTAATGTGAGTCACCCATACAAAACTTCCCATAGAGCAGACATTATTGCCTGTAAACTGTTTTGCAATTTTGTATCCCTGATGCCATGCTCAGCCAAACTATTTAACAGTAAAATTTAGAGATTAAACGGGGCCACGGACGTTACAAGTGAGCAAAAGTCAAAGATTTCCCCCAACACTAGGTACAGTAAATGAATGGGAAGTGTTGGTGCAGACGAGGTGGTGCAGGGGGAGAGGAAGAGAACAGATTATCTCCTGCAATAGAAAAATGACACTCCTCTTCCTCCCACAATATCCAGATGTGACCCCAACCCTGAATAAGCACCTCGCGCCAGCACATTCGAGCTAGTATTTTAAAGGGTGTTCCCCCCCGGCTCCCCCGCCAGCATCCCGAGCCTCTGCTCTCCTCCTCTCCCTCTTCCCTCCCCAAATCGCAGCCCCGACAAAGGCACGCACGCCCACCCGGTTCGGACCGCAGGAGACGACTCCGTGCAGAGACTGGCTGCGGGTGAATTACCTGCCCCGAGGGGTGGCGGGCGCTGGAAGGAGCGTCTCGCTGGGGAGGATGGATGGAAGGTAGGGGCGGGAGCTGCGGCGGCAGGCGAAGCCCGTGCCAGCGTCCAAGTCACAGCCTCCTCTGGCCGTGAATGGAAGACTGTGAGCGCGGGCCACCCTCTCGGCACCCGTACAAACCTGGCTTTGCCGCGGGGGGGCCCGGTAGCTCGCCAATTTTCCTTCCGGGTCAAAGCGACACGGACGGGAGCAAACCAGGTGGCGAATCTCTTAATCGTCTTCTCCCTCCTCAGCTTCTCCAAAAGCCTCTGACCGAAGCTGCCTGCCCTTCCCTGGGTTTTTAGAAGCGGCCACACAGCCCGACCTTTTCCACTCCACGTGCCTCTTCCATCGCCTCTCTTTCCCTCCCCACTTCCTCTCCGCCCCGCGTCACTGGACCGGAAAAGTGCTCGAACAAAATCGTCCGGTTGGCTTTTCGGGGTTCCTGAGAGGGCCGTTCCGGGTGGAAGGAGCAGAAGTAAGAAAATTCGGAGGCGGCGGGGCGGCGGCGAAAGCAGCAACATGAAGAAGGAGCAAGTGCTCCACTGTCAGTTCTCTGCTTGGTATCCTCTGTTCAGGAGCCTCACTATCAAGAGGTGAGACGGGACGGGGGACGGGCAGGTCCCTCGACCCCTTTCGCTGCCATCTCGCGCCCTCCCCACTCTCCCTAAGCGATGGAGGAGGCGAGAGACCCTGGACTGGCCTTTGGTTAGGTCAATGTAGGTCTAGGTTTGGGGGCCGGAGTAGGGGCTCAGAGGGGGGAGGGTGTGGGGACGGGAGGAGGAGGAAGAATCCAGACTAGGTTTGAGGGAGGGGGTTGGGAGGGGTGTGTGTGTGGGAGGATTAATGGCTTGAGACCTTGAAAAGCGTTTTGTCAACTCTGAAGTGACATGACCTCATAAGGTGCAACAGTCCCTTCCTCTCCCCTCAACCCGCACTGCTTAGGCCTTGTGCCTGGCATCACTTCTAGAGCCTCAGCTTGGACTGGAAGCCAGGATACCACGTTTGGCCTTTACTTAGCTGTGTGACCCAAAGAAAGTTAAATTTAGGTTTTTTGATATAAATATCTAGCCTGCCTACCTCACAGGGATCCAGTAAGTAACCTATGTCGAAACACCGGGTAAAGTAGAAAGTTAAGCTATGAATGAACGATAGGGGTGAGGTAGTGAGAAGTAGAAGAGTAATGGTTTTTCCAGCTTTCAAAGCAAGACACCTTTTCCAGATTTTGCAGTGTGGTTTACCTGCTTGTTCTTCCACTTGTTTGATCTCTCTCGAGTCACAGAATTGCAGAATTTTAGGTTTGGAAGAGACTAGCCTATATTTGAGAAAAGGAATCTCTGCTGCTATCTACCCAACAATTATTAGTAAGTTCCTGCTCCATGTCAGCCACCATGCAAAGAGCTGGGGATAGAAATTACAAATGACAGTGCCTTTCCACAAGGAGCTTACATTCTATTGGCACACACATTCACAGATAAGTAAATATAGAATACATCCAAAATAAATACAGAGTCAACGGAGGGGAGACTAAGAACTGGGGGAATAAGGAGACATCACTTGAGCTGAACCTTGAAGTCAGAAATTGATTCTAAGGAGGCTTAAGTATGTCACTCTTGATCAAGAAACTTCATGCTGCCTCTGTGATAAGTTATGCATTCTTCAGCTTGGCATTTAAATCCCGTCACAGTTTGTGAACAGAAAAGGGCTAATGAAAGAGCTTTGGAGGTTACCTAAGCTTAAAGAGAAGGACATGGAGGATGAGTTAGCAAAAGAGACAGAGCCCCCCACCACAGAAATGGAAAAGGGTATGTGTGTATATCATTTTTCAAAAAAAAGGAACAATACGGAGCCTTCAAATTATAGGTCAACAAGCTTTACTTCAGTGGTCAGTGAATATCTAGAAAAGGAAGAATTTTTCACAAAGAACTTTAACAAGGACAGGTTTATCCTTTCCTTTTTTTCTGAATAATATTTTATTCCCCCCCCCACTTACATGTAAAAACAATTTTTAGTATTTGTTTTTTAAAATTTTGAGTTCCAAATTCTCTCCCTCCCTCTCCTCCACCTTCCTTGAGATGGTAAGCAGTTTGATAAAGGTTATACTTGTGCAATCATGCAAAACATTTCCACATTAGTCATGTTGTAAAATAAAACGCCAAAAAAAAAAACAACCCGCAAAAAAGTAAAAAATGGCATGCTTCGGTCTGCATTCAGAGTCCATCAGTTCTTTCTCTGGAGGTTGATAGCATTTTCATCATGAATCATTTGGAATTGTCTTGGATCATTGTATTGGTGAAAATATCTAAGTCATTCACAATTGATCACAATACAGTATTGCTGTTATTATGTATACCATTCTCCTGGTTCTAGTGACTTCATTTTGCATTAGTTCATGTAAGTCTTCCCAGGTTTTTCTGAAAGCATCCTGTGGATCATTTCTTATAGCACAATAGTATTCCCTCACAATCACATACTACAGCCTGTTTTGCTATTTAGCACTTGATGAGCATCCATCCCTCAATTTCCAATTCTTGGGCACCACAAAAAGATATATACATATACATATACATATACATTTTTTTTGTTGTTGTTGTTGTTGTTTTTTTGGTACAGATAGGTTTCTCTCCTTCCCCACGCTTTTTAAAAATCTCTTTGGGATACAGACTTAGAAGTGGTATTGCTGAATCAAGGGGTATGCACAATTTTATAGCCCTTTGAGTATAGTTCCAAATTGATTTCCAAAATGATTAGATCAGTTCACAACTCCAGCAGTGTATTAGTGTCCTGATTTTCCTACCTCCTCTCCTCATTTTCCTTTTCTGTCATATTAGGCAGTCTTATAGGTGTGAGGTGGTACCTCAGAGTTGTTTTAATGTGAATTTCTCTAACCAATAGTAATTTAGAGCATTTTTTCACATGACTATAGTTAGCTTTGATTTCTTTGTCTGAAAACTGCCTGTTCATATCCTTTAACCATTTGCCAATTGGGGAATGATTTGTATTCTTATAAATTTGACTCAGTTCTCTACATATTTTAGAAATGAGGCCTTTATCAGAGATACTTGCTGTAAAAATTGTTTCCCCGCTTCCTACTTTCCTTCTGATCTTGGTTGCATTGGTTTTGTTTGTACAATCCCTTTTAAATTTAATATGATAAAAATTATCCATTTTGCATCTTGCAGTGCTCTGTATCTCTTATTTGGTCCCAAATTCTTTCCTTTTCCCTAGATCTGAAAGGTAAACTATTCCATGCTCCCCTGATTTGCTCATGGTATCACCCTTTGTGTCTAAATCATGTACCCACTTTAACCTTGTTGTGGTACAAGGTGTAAGACGGTCTATATCTGGTTTCTTCCATGTTTTCCAGTTTTCCCAGCAGTTTTTGTCAAATAATGAGTTCTTGTCCTCAAAGCTTGGATCTTTGGATTTATCAACCACTATGGTCATTTAGTATTGTGCATTGTATACCTAATCTATTCCACTGATCCACCACTATATTTCTTAGGTAGTACCAGATAGTTTTGATGATTGCCACTTTATATTACAGCTATGATATCTGCTACCACTAGGCTGCCTTCCCTCACTTTTTTTTTTCATTAATCCCTTGATATTTTTTACCTTTTTTTCTTACAGATGAATTTTGTTATTATTTTTTCTAGCTCTGTAACAATTTTGGGGTAGTTTGATTGGTATGGCACTGAATAAATAACCTTTTCTTTTACTGATGGGGTGACTAGAATGGTAGATGAGAAGAATGCTGTATATATAGAAGACCTAGATTTTTGTGAAGCATATGATAGTCTTTTATATTCTTGTGGCCCCAGTAATGTGGGATAGATGGATAAAGAACTGGTTGAATGGACTAACTCATTGTAATCATTAATGGTTTGGTATCATCTTGGAAGAACTTTTGTGGAGTGTACCAGAGATTTGTGCTTGGCCCTGTGCCATTTAATCTTTTTTTATCTGCAACTTGAGTAAAGGGATAGATGACTTGCTTATCAGATTTGAAGATGATACAAACCTGGGTGGGATAGCCAGCACTGAATAATAACAGGCTCAGGATCCAAAGATATGTCAGTAGGATAGAATATTGGGTCAAATCTTATCAGATGACATTTAATAGTGATAAAAGAACTTCACAAAAGTCCTTCTTGGATGTCTTGTTTTTTAAAAAAATTCAACTTTATTTTGTTTTCAGTTCTGAATTATCTTTATGCCCTCTGCCCCTTCCTGTTGAGAAGGCAGGAAAAACAGAACCCATATGTATAGTCATGCAAAACAGATTCTGGCATTAACCATATTGAAAGAAAGAAAAGAAAATATGCTTTAATATGCACTGTGAGGCCATCAGACTTTCCATCTGGAGATGGATAGCATGTTTCATCATTAGCCCTTTAGAATTGGAATAGCCCTTCATCATTTCTTACAGCAGAATAGTATTCCATCACATTCATATGCCTTAACTTATTTAGACATTCTTTGACGGGCATGTGATGCCTTATTGCTGGTTTAATGAAATTAAAGCTTGGACAGATTGTACCATGCTGGTAAGGTTTTGGGTAAGGTCCTGGTAACAGATTGTTGATGTCTTTTGAACACCAGCCTAGTCAGTCAGTCAGTCAGTATTTATTAAGTACTTATTACATGCCAAGCACTACGTTAAGAAAAAAGAGGCAAAAGATAAGTCCCTGCCCTGAAGGAGTTCACAATCTAATGGTGGTGACAGCAAGCAAAAAAATTATGCACAGACAAGTTATATGCAGAATAAAGAGAAAATAATTAAAAGTGAGAAGACACTGGAATTAAGAGAGATTGGGAAAAGCTTTCTGTAGAAGATGAGATTGAGTTGGAACTTAAAGGGAGCCAGAGAACCCAGTAGGCATAGATGAGGAGGGAGAGCATCCCAGGTATGGGAGACACCCAGAAAAAATGCCTAGAGCTGAGAGATGGGAATGTCTTATTTGTAGAACTGCAAGAAGTCCTAGTCACTGATGGGAGTAAGGTATAAGAAGATTGGAAAGGTTGAAGAGGGGAAGGGTTGTTTGGTTATGAAGGGCTTTGAGTGCCTGACAGGATTTTGTATTTGATCCTGGATATGAAAGGGGACTACAGGAATTTTTTGAGTAAGTGGGTGACGTGGTTGGGTGTTGGTTTTAGGATTATCCCTCTGGTAGCGTAATGGAGAATGGATTTGAGTGGGGAGATGCTTGAGGTAGGCAGACTCACCAGCAGTAATCTAGGCTGAAGTGATGAGGGTCTGTACCAGCGTGGAGGCATTGTCAGGAGAGAAGGAGGTGTATTCAAGAGATGTTGCAAAGATGAAATTGACAGGCCTTGGCAACAGATTGGCTACTGGGGAGAGGAAGTTGGGGTTAGGGATAGTGAAGAGTCCAGGATGACACCTAGGTTTTGAATCTAGGAGGATATTGTTTTCTCTACATAATAGGGAAGGTGAGGGGGTAGAGGAGAGTTTGCAAAGAAAGAATGATTCTGTTTTGGACATACTTAGTTTAAGATGTCTACTGGACATTTAGTTTGACATATCTAAAAGGCAATAGGAGATATGAGATTGGAGGTCAGCAGAGAGGTTAGGGAAGTACAGGTAGATAATGAGAATTGTCAGCATAGAGATGTTAATTAAAATTGAAGTCAGTGGAGGTGATGAGATCACCAAGTGAAGTAGTATAAAGGGAGGAGAAGAGGGCCCAGTACAGAATATTGAGGAACATTGATGATTAGAGGATGTGATCTGGATGAGGATCCAACAAAGGAGACTGAGAAGGAGCAGTCAGATAGGTAGGAGGAGAACCAGGAGAGAGTGGTATCCTGAAAACTTAGAAGATAGTGTCAAGGAGAAGAGGGTGATTGACAGTGTCCAGGCTGCAGGGAGGTCACGGAGAATGAGGATTGAGAAAAGGGCGTTGAATTGGGCAATCAAGAGATCATTGGTATCTTTGGGGAGAGCAGTTTTGATGGAATGGTGGGGTTGGAAACTGGATTGTTTAGAGAATGATAGGAGAGAAAGTGGAGGCACTTGTCATGTTAGAAAGCCTTTTCAAGGATCAAGTGAGAACCTAGTTTTGTGAAATACTCAAGACTTTCCAAATAAATCAACATTATACTTTAGTACTCAATGATTTCTATATAAAAGTGTGCATAGGAGAAGATAGTGAAAATGGCTTAGAAAATATGGCTCAGGATTAAGAACAGAAAAGGCTTGTATACATCGGTTTGCTGGGAGCCAAGTTTGGTCATCATAATTTCACAGTGTTGAGTTGCAGTTGTTTTGCTATTGTTTTGTTATTGTTCTTTCCACTTTGTTGTAGTTATTCTTACTAGGACTTTTGAATAAGACCCATTGCCAGGACTTATTGCCAGTAGACTGTCCACTAGGTGATGAATCTTTTCATTCATTCAGCATAATAATTACTGACATTTATGTAGTGTTTTAGAATTTACAAAGAAAATGTTTCAAATTATCTCATTTTATCTGTTAATGGCATTATACTCTTTGGTAAGATTGTTGAATATTGGTTACCCTTGTGCTATTTCTTCTATGTATCAAACATCCTATCTGTTGTACTTTTGCAATTTCTTCAAGTCACATTATGAATATTGTGCCCACATATATTGTTACTTCTGGATTACTGCTTTCATAATTTTGTTTTATTCAGTATTAGGCAGTTGTGGTAATTAGAAGAATCCAGTTTAGTTGAGGCAAGAAGTGTTTATATTCAGACTTCTCAGATTAAATATTTAAAATGCTATCATAGATATCTTTAATATCTTTTGCTTCATTAAAAGTGAAAGGGATGGAGAGTCCTCCAAATAACAAGGTTTGTGTTGTTTACATAGTGCTTATTATAATTTATTTGTCTTTCTAAATGATACCTTTCCCCCCTCCCCTTTTTTTTAAAGTGTCATTCTTCCACTGCCTCAGAATGTGAAGGATTATTTACTTGATGATGGAACTCTGGTGGTCTCAGGAAGGTAAAGTATAGCTGAACTTGCTTTTTAAAATTATCTTAAAATTGTAGAAAGAACTAAATCTTGACATCTTGAACTTCAAGATTTAACTTAGTTTTGCTTCGTTACTAAACTATCACTGTTGGTTGTCTCCCATCTTCCTAACAGTTGCTTTTTCCTGTGTATTCTTTTCTTTCTCTCATCAGCTCTCAGGCAACAGCTTTCACTAATAAGCCTTTATGACGTTGAACAGTTTACTTAACCCCTTTACTTTCCTAATTATTAGTTGTGTGACCTTGATTCAGTTTCTCTATGAATGAGGCTATTAGTGTCTTACCAATGTGGATGTGTTGAAATCCTTTTAGGCTGTGTGACCTTAGATTGTGCGGTCACTGAGTTGTAGTCCATTGTAATTTTGTTCCCTACACTCCCTTCTGGTTTAAGTAAAGGGAAAATGTTACTGTCATTTCTTACGTATTTTGAGTTCTTGGTGATAAGTTAGAGAATTATTGATCTTGATAAAGACACTCATGTTTCTAATATCTCTGAAATGTATCAAAATTATTTATTTCAAATAGAATTGGTTTTCTCCCATATATTTGATGAATGGACCTTCAAGGAATGTACGTCTTACTTTGTTTCTATCTAGTATCTTCAGACTCTTGATAACTTGAAAAGGATTATAGCAAAAGCTCAGGAGTAGGAAGTAGGGTGAAGTTTTAGTGTGACAGATAATTTTAACTTATAGGATTTCTTAAAGAGTTTAATTTTATTATTCTCAAGCACAGTATATGCTGTAAGCTAGGAAACAAAATGACTCAATAAATAAAATGAACATAAAAAATAATATTCCAAAGTTGAAGGCATATTGAAAGAAGCCTTAATTTCTAGAGCCCTTGGAAAAAATACTAATTTTATATTAGATTTCTTTTAGAAGAAAGAGACTGAAAATTAAGGTAAGATTATTTTAGAATTTTTTTACACAAAAAAGAGTCACATATACTAAGAATTTTAGTATGGTAGATGTTAAGATATAGTTTTTTTCACATTCTCTTCTGGGACAACTTTATTAATTTGGATCATACGGATTTTGAATTAGTGATAATACTTCACAAATGAGGTGTTCCAGAAGTTAATCAATTGAATGGTAGTTTCATAATTTTAAAATATTATTGATTATTACTAAATAAACTCCCCAGAGTGCCCTTTATGTCAGTTCCTTAGGGATAATTGACTTTTCCCTCACTTTGTATAGTTCTCCAAAATATTTTACTTAAGTTTCAGTAAGAAGGTAAAGTTTTGGCATATAATTATACTCTGTAGATCAATCAGTACTAAGTTAAAAGGGCAAATAAAATCATTAAAATTGAGGATTTATTTATGTTTTTATGTTATTATTTATCTAATAAATGAAAAAGTTAAAAAAAAGCATTTATTAAGCTCTTATTATGTGCCAATCATCATGTTAAGGACCAAGGATATAAATAGAAAAGTCCTTGCTCTCAAAGATCTTCCATTCTAATTGGTGGAGACAACACATACAGGAGGTATCAGATGCTGATACAGGGTAGATGGCAAGATCTGGGAGTTCTTAGGGTACTTTAGGGGCAGTTCAGATGGAGGTGCATGGATGTGTGTGTGGAGGGTGAAGCAAGAGGGACAGAGCACGGTAAAGCCTGGTGGGCTCTAGAACATCTTGGTAGAGCGGATGGTATGTGAAGAGTACAGAAACTGCATCTGTTAAAAATTTCAGTTAGTATATGTGAAAAATAAAATCCTTGTCACTAGGAATATAGAGTTTTAGGTACAAATAAGTGTAGAGGATTGTATTTAATTAAGGTTCTTACTATCACTGGGTAGCTTCTGGGTACAGCAGGTATGTAATCTTAAGAGAGCCAGCTCATTTTCCTCCCCTGCCTCAGTCTGTTACCACCCGCATCCCAAAGGTGGACCCATGGGTCCAGCAGGAGCTGCTACTCTGGGAGCCAAGATTTTCCCTTCCCCCTATCTTCCATTTTTATGTAAGTTTTATTGATGTGTTTTCACATAGTGAAATATTATATTGACATATAATATTTTGTGCCCAGATTATATTATACCCAGATTATACACCTATATTGTGAAAGTTTTTGTAATAACTTAAAACAAATGAGTCAAACTAATAAAACAGTGACCTCATCTGAAGGTCACTCAGATCTCATCAGTGCAGCATTCCACATCTGTAGCGTGTCTCCCTCCAGCCTCTCCATTTATTTAAAAAAAAAATTATTTATTTTTTGGTGAGGCAAAGGGATTAAGTGACTTGCTCAGGGTCACACAACTAGTAAGTGTCATGTGTCTGAGCCTGGATTTGAACTCAGATCCTCCTGACTCTAAGGCCAGAGCTTTATCCACTGGGCCAGCTAGCTGCCCCTAAAAAAAAAATTTAAAAATTTTTTTGAGTTCCAAATTCTTTTCCTCTCTTCCATCCCTCTCCCACCCATTGTGAAGGCAAGAAATAGGCTATCAGTTATAGATGTGAAATCATAAAGCATATTTCCATGTTAGTCATATTGCCAAAAAAAAAACCCGCACAAAACTCAACAAGAAAAATTAAAAAAAAAAGAAAAAATTATGCTTTCATCTGCATTCAGACTCCAGTTTTTTCTCTGGACATGGATAGCGTTTTTCATAAGTCCTTTGGAATTGTCTTGGATCACTGTATTTCTGAGAATAGCTAAGTTATTTACAGTTGATTATCGTGCAATGCCACTGTTACTGTGTACAATGTTCTCCTGGTTCTGCTCACTTCACTTTGTATTGTTCATATAGGTCTTTCTAGGTTATTTTGAAAGCATCCTGCTCATCATTTCTTATAGCACAATAATATTCCATCACAATTATATACCACAATTTGTTCAGCTATTCCTCAATTAATGGATATCCCTTCACTATCTAATGTTTTGCCGCCATATAAATGTTTTTGCACAAATACATCTTTTTCCATTTTCTTTGATCTTTTTGGGATATGGGCCTAGTAGTGCCAGCCTTTCTAAAAATATTTTTTTTAGTTAACAGAAAGCTATTTTCTTTCTTTCCTACTTTCCCATTCCATTCAATAAAAGAAAAAACCCAAATTCTTTCTAACATATGTATTGTTAAACAGATTTCTTCATTGGCTGTATACAAATACATATACATATATATTTGTATGTCTGTATGTTGCATATATCAACATTCTTTTAGTACAGATGTACATGCATACACATATATGCATATGTACATATATGTCTCATTCTGTATCCTAAATCTTTCACCTCTCTATCAAGAAGTTGATAGTATGTATCATCATTGGTTTTCTGGGATGATGGATGATTGTATTGATAATAATTCTTTTACAGCTTTCAAAATTGTTTGTCTTTACAGTGTTGTCATTGTTTAACTTTTTCTCCTGGTTTTGTTCATTTTATTCTTCATCAGTTTATAAAGTCTTCATAATTGTTCACTTTTATAATACTGATGTTATAGTGTAAATTGCTTATCTGATTCTGCTTACTTTACTCTGAATCACTTCATACCAGTCTATGTCTTTTTAAAATAATTTCTTAAATCACAATAGTATTCTATCACATTCATCTACTACAACTTATTCAGTCATACCTCAATTGATGACCAACCCTTTAGATTCCAGTTTTATTTGCTACCACTGAAAAGAACTGCTGTGTATATTTTTGTACATATAGGCCTTTTCATATTTCTTTGTTCTCTTTTGGGCATGGCCCTAGCAGTGCCATAACTGGATCAAAGGACATTCTCGCTTTAGTGACCTTTTGTGAATAAATCCAAATTGCTTTTCAGAATAATTATACCCATTTTTTAGGTTTACCAACAGTGCATCAAAGTGCCTGTTTTTTATAGATACTTCAACATTTATTATTTTCTTTAATTTCATTTTTGCCAATCTGATGCCGTCTGATGTGGGGTGGTATCTTCAAATTACTTTAATTTGCATTTCTCTAATTAGTACTCATTTGGAGCATTTTTTTTCATGTAGTCACAGAGACTCTGGGTTTCTTCCTTTGAGAACTGCTTATTCATATACCTAGGCTGTTTAACAATTGGGGAATAGTTCTTATTCTTATAAATTTGAATCATTTCCTTGAGTCTTGGAAATGACACCTTTATCGAAGAAACACCAAAGATTTTTTCCCAGTAAATTATTTCCTTTCTTATCTTTTATTATTTAGTTGTGAACTTTACTCCTATCCATAGATCTGATAGGTAATATTTTTCATGTTTTTCTAATTTGTTTATGATCTAACCTGTTATATCTGGGTCATATACCCACTTGAAGCTTGTCTTTATATAAGGTGTGAGATTTTGATCTGGCTAAATCTAATTTCTTCCATAATCCTGTTTAGTTTTTATCAGCTAGTAAGTCCTTATACCAGTAGCTGATTTCTTTGTATTTGTTAAATACTAGGGCACTAAATAAATTTTCTCCTGTATATTGGGTACCCAACCTGATCCACAGGTTCCTTTTTCTATTTTTTAACCAGTTTGTTTTGATGAATCAAATTGTTTTGATAATTACTGCTTTATGTATAGTTTGTGATCTGATGCTGCTAGGCTCCCCCTGCTTTCCTTTGTTGCAATTGTTTTTTGTTTCCCTTGAGATTCTTGACTTTTTTTGCCTCCATATGAATTTCCTTCTCTTTTTATAGTTCTTTAGAGTCATCCTTTTGTACTTTGGTATGGCATTAAATAAGAGAATTAATTTAGTTAGTGTTTTCATTTTTATTATATTGACTCAACTTACCCATGAAAAATTAATCTTGTTAAAATTATTCAAATCTGTCTTTATTTCTGCAAACTGTATTTGTATAGTTCTTGTTTGTATTTTGAGAGGTAGACTGCTAAGTATTTTATACATTCTGTAGTAATTTTAAATGGGAATGTAAAATATTTATTTCTTTTCTCTCCAACTCTTCCTGCTGGGTTTTTATTAGTATTATATAGAAATGCTGATGATTTGTGTGGATTTATTTTATATCCTGCAAGACTGCCAAAGTTATTGTCCTGATTTTAAAATTTGTTTTGTGAAGTTCTTTTAGTATTTCTTTTTTACCTATGTTTATTCCCTCAGTTTCTTTTTTTTTTTGTCTTATTGCTGTAGCCAGCAAATAGAAGTGGTGACAAAGGGCATCCTTGTTTCACCTTTGATTTTACTGGAAAGGATTCTAATTTATTTCCATGACATGTAATAGTAGTTCTTGTTTTGAGAAATATAGTTCTTGTCATTTTAAGGAAAGATCCATTTATCCTTATGTTTTCTATTGTTTTTAACAAAAATGGGTGTTGTATTTTGTCAAAAGATATTTCCATATCTATTGATATAATTATATGATTTTTGTTGTGTTTGTTATTGATATGGTTAATTAAATCTGTAGTTTTGATAATTTTAAACCAACTCTGCATTCCTGGTATAAAGCTAACCTAGTTGTGGTGTACAATTTTTGTGATGTGTTGTTTTAGCCTCTTTACCATTATTTTATTTGAAACTTTGCTTCTATGTTTATTAGGGTTATTAGTCTCTAGTTTTCTTTTTCTCTTTTGACTCTCCCTTCCCCCTGCTCCAGCCTGACCAGCCTACCAGCTGCACACATCCCAATGCACCTGCTAAGAGCTGACGGTAGGGAGCCCTTCCCCTTCCCTACCCTAACCCTCATGGCTCCCATGGTAGTTATCCTAGCCCTCAGTTCTCATTAGGTGCTGAATCTGCTGGATGCTACCCCTTATCTTCACTCTCAAGGATTCAGAGACCTGCCTTGGGCCTACTATTCCTTTTCTAGATCAAGGTTATGGATCGGTGACATAGCTGCTCACACCACTTAGATGAACAGGAAGTCACCAGCTATAATCCTTTCAGTAAGATGGGGGACCACTGGGCTTTACCATCTGCCTTACTCTTGTTCCCTAAGGTCTAACAGGCCGTTACCATCTGCCCTGCCAGACCCATAAGGTTTTGCCATCTGATCTACTTATGTACCCTAAAAAATCTTGAGCCTTGCCATCTGCTTTACTGAGCACACCTTAAGGTCCACTAGGCTTTCCTATTTGCCTTGAGGCCAAACCCTATATTCGTTGTCTCTACTAATTAGAATGCTAGTGTCTTAAGAATTGGGACTGCCTAAATTTTCTGTATGCTTCACTGATGTTTAGCACACAGTAAGTGTGCTTGCTTATAAATGTTTATTCATTCATTCATTCATACACTGATGGGCTGTTGAATGGGTTTTTGAAATTCAGAGGGAGAGTTTTGAGGGCAGGTATCACAAATATAAAATAATTGAATGTGAATCACTTTTTTCCACAATATTTCTTTTTGTTAAATTAAAATTTCTTTTCAATTAATAAGTATTTCTTTTCTCTACTTCCCACCTTCCACTAAAAAAAAAGAAATAAACTTTTGTAACAAATATGCATAGTCAAGCAAAACAAATTCTTATATTGGCTCGTGTTATTTACTTTTGCTTGTTTGCAAGAGAGATTCAGAAGAGTGGGAAAATAGGAGCATTTTTTAGAAGGTAAAATTTTTATTATTTCTACTTAGTTACAATTCTCTTATTAACTTGCTATTAAAATCCATAGTAAATCATTTAAGTAAATAATTTTCTTTTAGTATAGAAAGGGTATAGCTTTTATTATTTGTACATTTGTCTAAGCTCCTTTGCCTGGTCTTCCATAGTCCTTCACAAATTATTTTTTCCACCTTTATTTACTATTGCTCACCTATACAAATCCTCCATTTCATTCAAACTAGTTTTAACTACTGTCTTTCAAACATAATTTGTACTTTCTTGCTTCCTTTGTTTATGCTGTCTTTCCCACCTTTTTTTCTTTCTAGATTCTGTCCTTCAGAATCCAGTTATGAATGGAGGTGGTAGAGACAGGAAAGTTAGAAAGAAGAACAAAATTTAGTGGAAAGATTATTTTAGTTTTCGACATGTAGAGTTTGAGGTGAGAGTGGGGCATTGAGGTGGAATTTTCTTATAGGCAGTCAGAAATATGAGCTTGAAGCTTGTGAGAGAAGACAAGAGGTAAAAATGATTAAGATTTGGGCAGTGCTTGCATTGTGGTGACAGCATCTCCACCAGGAATGGATTCATCCCTCAAAGGAGAGAACATAAAGATTGGAGGGAAGAGTCCCTTATTTTTTCTTTAACGTGCACTTTTATCTCGACTTCTGTCAAGTCAGTGTTCTCTCCCTCAAGTATTGACATCAATCTTGTTGAACTTTCAGGGAGGCTGTAGAAAGGTCTTCACTTACCTCTATGTTGTAGGGATAAAGAAGGGAAACGAAGGACATCATTATGACTCTTGTAATTTATTTTTTTTTTGTTCTAGTAATTTAAATGATGAAAAAAAGGGGGAAAAGCATCAAGGGGGAAGATTCAAAAAGCTTTTTTTTTTGTTGTTAGGATTACATAATTTATATATGCAATATTACTACCTTTCTCCCCCCCTTTCCCTTGTCAGGATTTATGTAATTAGCTCCTTTTGTAGAGCAGAGAAGCCTTCATAGAGGCAAGGCTCTTCTTGTGACAATTCATCATACAATATTTGGAATGACTATTAAAAAAACAGCAATAAATGTATAGTCAGGGTGCTCAAGATTCACTATAGAACTTTGGGGATGTTTGCCTCCAACCTATTTAGATTGCTCATCACCTTCACTGTTCAAGTTTTCAAATCCTGAGTCAAGTGCAAAAAAGGCCAAATCCATCCATCCATGCCATTTCATCTCTCTCCTTCTCTGTCTCCCTTCCTCCCCCTTTCCCTAACCCGTCCCTGTTTGTTATATCCTACCCTTTGACAAAAAAAAAGTCTGTTTAAAAGCATCTGTGGTGGACAGTTTAGGGCCCAGATTCATCATACTTTTGCTCCACATCTCCTTACTGATGCACATCTGCTGGAAGTACAGAAAAGGAGGCCAGAATGGAGCCTTAAATCTAGACAGAATATATGCAGATCCTTATAGATGTCAGCTTCACGCTTCATGATTGAGTTGAAAACAATTTCATGGATACCAGAGGATTCCATACCTAGAAAAGATGTTTGGAAAAATGGTTCTGGACACCCGAACCTCTCCTTGCTAATGGTGATAATTTGACTACCAGGGTGCTGGTAGCTCTTTTCCAGAAAAGAGCTAGATGCAGCAATGACTATCTTTTGCTCAAAGTCTAGAGTAGTGTGACATAGCTATTTGATGTGCACATAGTTTCCCTCTTAACTGTGGTAGTGATGCTATAGCCTCTTGTGGTCAGGATTTTTATGAGGTATTCCATCAGTTCATGGCCAGATCCAGATGGAGGGTGGCTTGAGGAAGGACATAACTTTCACAGATGGGCACAGTGTAGGGCATCACAGTACCAGTGGTATGACCAGAAATATAAGGGACAGCCTAGCATCACAGTGTATAGCAGTATATATGGCTGGGATATTGAAGGTCTTGAGCATGATCTGTGCCATCTTTTTTCCTTTAGTTTTTGGGTTTAGCAGGGAGGAGTGGGTACTGTGAGCATCACTGGGTGCTTTTCAGGGACCTCACAGTGCTTATTGTAGAAAGTTTGGTGCAGTATCTTCTCCATGTCATCCCATTTGGTGACAATACCATGTTGATCGGGCCACTTCAGGGCCAGAATACCTCTTTTGTTCAAGCCTCATCCCACATAACTGTCTTTTTAGCCCAATCCCACTATCATACCCTGATGTCTGGGGTGGAGGAGAAGATAGCTTTGGAGGCAACATCTCCATAAAGCTAGCTTTGCATATTTTGATCCTCTGTCTTCGTTGAGGGCAGCAATATTATTATCCGTAATGAGCTTTGAAGTATTAAGTTTAAACCTTTAATAAAATAATAAAAGTGTGAAAATAATGAATAATAAAATTAATTAAAAAAAAGACTCCAGTATCTACAGCCTTGGATTGGGGTAGGGTGGAAGTAGGGGGAGTGTCTAATAAGTGCTGGGTGGAGGAGCTCACAGCTTATAGCTCAAGGATAAAGTCTTAGAAAGCACTCATTTGTAAAGAAGTTGGAGGAGGAAGAGTCAAAGAATGCAAAGAAGTCATAGTATGAAGGGAACCAGGAGAGTGTGGTATCACAGAACCCCAGAGAATCAAGACTATCAAAAGGAAAGTATGCAAAAAGAGGATTTGGTCATTTGGAGGTTATTGGAGACTTTTTGAGAGAGGAATTTCAATAGAGTGATAAAAATGGAATCCAAATTGCAAGGAAGTAAGGATTAAATAGGCAATAATATAGATTACTCACTAAAGAAATTTCATAGTAAAAGGGAGAAGAGAGATGAGGAAAGGCCTTTAAAGCAAAGATTGTATCTTTGGGTCCTTCTCAATGCCTAGCACAGTGCCCTGCATGTAGTTGGTATTCAGTAGATAGCTTTTGTTTTGATTGCCAATAATATTAATTCTTTACTTTGCTAGTTACAACACAAACATATTTAGAAAGTCTTTAGAGTAGCATCATATCATTCAGTTTGTCCAACAAGTTTTTGTTACTTTGATAAATTCTGGGGAAACAAAGACCTTAACCAAAGCAGCTTTTGCCTTCAAGGAGCTTATATTTTGTTGGAGGAAGTCATGTGCATACAAGGAAGTACAAAATAAATATAAAGTAAATAAAATCATTTTAAGATGGGAACTAATATTCCTCCATACTCTATTCTGTTCTCAGTATACTCTGTCCCAATCATCTTGGTGCTGCCTTCCATTTGTAATTCCATCTAAGGAAAAATTCACTGCTTTAGGCAACTATGAGCATTCTTCAGCTCAAGGTCAGCCACCTCTTCAGCGGGCATGAACAGAAATCTTTTTTTTTTCTTTTTTGCTCAATATATGTGTTTAATCCTCTAGGGAAGATCCACCAACATGTTCTCAACCAGACAGTGACAACGAGGGAGAAGAAATACAGGTTAGTATAAAATAATAGCAGTAGCTTTCCATAATATGGATGATTCCTGAAATTGTATTGATAGTTCATAACTTTATTTGATAAACATGAGGTAATAGATGTGAATTGCTATAGAAATATTATAGATTTTGACTATTATTAGCTGTGATTTAAAATCAGTAATTGAAATGAAATGAGGAAGTGGAGGAAATTTCAACTAAAATATTTTGGATGATGTGTCTAGGAACAAGTTCTCTTGGTTGAAGATATAATTTTGAGGTAGCAGCTCTATATTTTGGAAACCAAACACTTTGTTCAAATTAGTTTCTTTTATTCTTTCCTTTTCTATTCAGTGGTCAGATGATGAAAATACAACAACACTTACGGTAAGGCCAGTTTTCTAAGACTTAATTTTCTAAGTTTGATAAGCCTGGCAGTATTTCATTTTTCATCAAATATTTATTGAATAGCTTATATGTGCAAGATCCTGGGAGAAATTTCCACATAGGAACTACTTTATTGTTCTTTTGTTAGAATATATATTGCTTCCCTACTATTTGAAAAGGTTTAAACTAAACTTTCTAAATTCCTGGTCACCTGTAATACCAGCTTTTCAGCAGTATAAAAATTCCTAAATTGAATCTTTAAAAAATTTTTTTTGAGAACTTATCTCTCTTTGTGATTCAACATTTCATTGAACAGATTTCTAAAGTCTTTCATAATTGTTTTTCTCTATAATGTTGTTGTCATTATCTACATTATTCTCTTAGCTCTACTCACTTCCTCCTGCATCAGGTGATAAAGGTCTTCCAAGTTTCTTCTGTAACTTCTTTTTTTAAGTAAGTTTTTATTGGTATTTTTTATTTTACATCACCATAGTATTCTCCAATATCCCTCCCAGAGAGCTACGCCATGTAACAAATCATATTTTAAGACAAAAAAAAAAGAAGAGGAAAAAAAAATCAACCTAACTAATTAATACACCAAAAATGTGTGAAAATATGTCTGATGTATGTTATTTGTTGAACGTCTTACCTCGTCAGAGGGGCGGGATAGGATTGTCTTCTCATGTCTGCTTTCAAGTCATGCTTATTCTTTATAATTTTGCAATATTCATTTGGATTTTTTTTGGGGGGGTTCTTTCCATTTACATTGTTATAGTCCTTGTTTATATTGTCTTTTTGGCTCTCCTTACTTCACTCTGCATCAGTTCAGGTAGATCTTTCCGTCTCTGTAGTTATCACATCCATCATTTCTCACAGCATAAAAATCCATTGCATTCATATATCACAATTTGTTTAGCCATTCCCCAATTGACGTGTCTACTTTGTTTCCAATTCTTTGCTGTAACAAAAAGTGCAGTTATAAATATCTTGGTGTATATGGGAACTTTCTCCTTTTCAGTGGCCTCCTTGGGGTATTAATAGTAGTATAATCTCTGGGTCAGAGGGTATAAGCATTTTAGCCATTTTATTTGCATAAATCCAAATTGCTTTCTAAAATGGTTGTATTGATTCACTGCTACACCAGCAAAGTCCTAATAGCGTACCTGTCTTCCCATAACCCCTCTAACATTGGCTATTCCCATATTTTGTCATCTTTGTCAATTTTCAGTGTGTGAGGTGAAACCTCAGGGTGGTTTTGATGTCTCTTATTAGTGATTTGGAGTAGTCTTTCATGTGGTTGTTTATAGTTTGCTAGTCTTTTGAGAACTGTTTGTTCATATTCTTATCATTGGGGAATGGACACAAACATATATATATATATATATATATATATGTATATATATATTTAATTGTTTATACATCTTAGATAACAAGCCCTTGTCAGAGAAATTGATACAAAGATTTTTCCCATTCAACTACTTTCCTTCTAGGTAAATTAATTTTGTTCTTGCAGAAACTTTTTAGTTACATGTAGTCAGAGTTATCTAAGTCAGCTTTTGTAATTGCCCCTATCCCTTTTTTGATTAAGGACACATCTCTTTTCTGTAGCTGTGAGAAGAATATGATCTACTTATAATTTTTTAATAGTTTAATTGAATGTATTGTGGAATATGAGATAAGGTGTTCATCTTAGCCTAATTTCTGCTAGAATGCTTTCCAGTTCTCCCAGTAGTTTTTATCAAATAGGGAATTCTTTTCTAAGTAATTTATGTTTTCTGGGTTATTGAACACTGGACTATTGAATTCCATTGTTTTGATTCTCTAAATAGTACCAGATGATTTTGATGAATGCTGCTTTATAATATAGTTTGAGGTCTAGAAATATTATTTCTCTTGATATTTTAGTTCTTTTCTTTTTCAAAATGAATTTTGTTATTATTTTATCAAATTCTATAAAATATACCTTTGATAATTTGGTATAAAATTCACATAGCATTACAAGTATAACATCATTTTCCCTGGCATAATAACATTCTAGTGCATTCATATGCTACAATTTGTTTAGCTTTTCCTCATTAGGTAGGCACTCCCTTAGTTTTCAGCTCTGGGTACTATGAAAGTAACTACTATAGGTATTTTTGTGCATATAGATCCCTTCAGTCTGTCTTTGATTACTTTGGAGTATAAGACCTAATAGCGGTATAGCTGAGTTAAATGGTATGTACAGTTTGGTAACTTTCTAGCATAGTTCCAAATTGCTTTGCAGAACGGCTGGACCAATTCATAGCTCCACCAACAATGCATTAGTGTGCCTAGATGTTGACTATATATATATTTCTCTTCCTAATCCTTTTGACTTGAGGATTGGTGTGGTAGAGTAGAAAGAGTACTGCCCTTGGAAATTTTGGTAGGAAAGTATAAATATTGCAAACCCGAATTAATATAAGATATCAGTAATTTTTGTTATTATTTCTACCTTTCTGGATTGGTGGCTTTTAACCTGAGGACTTTTTTTTTTGTATATACAGAACAGCTTATTATTCCCTCGACATAATCCTTTTATTCAGGCTTATTGACTCTATCTGCCCTGTTAATTATCCAGTAATGATCAGCTTATCCCAGGTCCCTTTAAGAACTCTGAAATATACACCTTTTGCCAAGATGGTAGCCCTCTAGTGGAAGATTAGGAGACTGTATGCCTAGAGCATTGGACTCTAGGAACAAATGAGTCAAACGGAAAGACACTTGCCACAATGAGAAAGCTTTAAGGCTTTCCAGGAAATTAACAAATAGCTTCAGAAGATGGAGACAGAAGACTGGATCTAAGGTCTGTGGTAAATCTCCTAGATCAGTACATTGGGCCGAGGTAGAACCTCCCAGAGTTTTTTATACAAATAGAATTGTTTTTGTGGATCTTCACCCCCAGTAATTTTACTTTCTACCGTCTAAGCTTGTGTAGGCATTTTGGTGTCGTGTATGAGGAGACAGGCCATCTAATAGGTCTTACCTCACAAGTAATAGCCTCTCATTCACTAATATGGAGGACCTTAATAGAATATATTCCTTGCCCAAACCCCAGCAAATTCTTTCCTGGGCCCCCTTCACCCAATTTTATTTTGGTTCATGTTGTGATAAACCAACCTCAGATGTAAATTTCATGGACTACCTCACCCTCCTCACCCTCTCACTAATCATGGCTAGTTATGTTGTCTGAGAAATTCCTTTTAATAATGCATCTTATCCTGACCCTTAATTTTGAACTTCTTGCCTTTGGACATTTCAGGTTCTGGGTTTGATGGATTCTGAGCCCTCTGGGAAATTTTACAGCTTAGGTTCACAATTAAAAGGCAGTTGAAATGATTGAAGGATATCAGCATTTTTATGTCCAACAACTGATTAGAGACCAAATTTTAGGCTGGACATAGGGAGAATATTATGAGTTTGTCAGCTCTTAATAGTAGTTGCTTGTCTGGCTTTGCATAATCCAGATATTTCACGTGACCTATAGAAGGTCACATACTTGTCCCTATACTTCTGAGGAAGCATTGCTGGGAATAAGAATATGCTTCATCCAAGGCATGGCTCTTTACCAGAGCTTCCTTCTAATACTAGAAATGTAGGGATATATTTAACTCATTTGAAACAGATGTTACCAGGCATATTGACCTTACAGTTGTACCAGTAACCTCGTTTTAGGGGCATCACTTCTGGCTGACTTTATATATAACTCACTTACCAGGGCCATATATATTTATAACTCTGCAGAACAATTGTCAGAAGAGATTTATCCCACTTTCCATCTCTCCTGTCATGTCATTGGTTCTCTTTAGAAGAAGACTGTAATAATCATTGGGCCTTGAGTTCCAAAACCATTTAGAATTCATTTATCCTTTTCCTGACACTCCACTTTCTAGACCTGTTGTTTGTAGTGATTATACCTGCCAAGTTGAACTTTTAAGGACATCTAGTTGGATCTGGACATGAAAAGATCATCAGTAGGAAATGGTATTCCAAATCTTATATATCTGATGTAAATACCAGCTCCTGCCATTCAGCTTCTATTGAACCCTGCTATCTTTCAGAGCTTCATAAATTCTATCTTCTAAGAAATGCTGAACCTGTGGTATGGTGGTTCATCATGAATTGGTCTGCCTTATTCCCTATCATACCCACATTAATTGGTTAATAAATGTTTATAAATCACCAACTATGTGCCAGGCACTGTGCTGGGGGTATAAGAGGTGAAAAAGATAGTCCCTGCCCTCAAGGAGCTTACAATATAATGGGGCAAAACAAAATAGAAAAGGAAGTCGAAAGTGGCACGAGGAGAAAGCACATGGATACGGAGGCATGGTGAAGTCAAAGGAGTGTAACCAGATGGTAAACGAAGGGGGGAAGAAATGTTGACATGGCTGTCCTGTGCTCTTTTTTTTTTTTAATTTTTTTAGGCAATTGAGGTAAAGTGACTTGCTAGTAAGTGTTAAGTGTTTGGTCTGAGGCTGGATGTGAACTCTGGTCCTTCTGACTTCAGAGCCGGTGCTCTACCCATTGTGCCACCTGGCTGCCTCATGTGCCCCTTCTTAAATGGAGGTTTTGGAGCTCCTTGCTCTGCCCTCTAGTGAGAGGGGCAGAGGGTACTGATGAGGTGTGAAGACCAAAGCTAACTGATCGTGCAAGATGATGAGGTTTCTAGGATATGGTGGAAAGCCAAAGGAATGTTGTTGGTGTGAAATGAAGAAATGGTTTTCCTGGGCCCCCTACTTAAATGGAAGTTGTAATATTAGTACCCCCATTGGCAGAAATGCCCATTCAGACCTGATGTGGTGGAAAGAATAGTGAATTTAGAGTTAAAGGGCCTGGGTTCAAATCCTGCTCCTTAATATTTGTGTATTCTTAGAGAAAGTAATTTAACTTCTCTGTAACTCAGTTTCCTCATTTGCCAAATGGAAGAGTTAAACTAAATGGTATTTAATGTCTTTGTCAGCTCTAATTGTATGGTC